CATCTTTATAAAAATGCCTTTTGGTGAGTGCTCCGAAAATGCCCATCCAAACAAAATATAAATGACTCCTAGATTGCCTCCTCTTATGAGTAATCTGTCATTGCTCTGTATTCCTTGGGAAGAAAAACTCACAAATCAGAAAGTCTGTTGTTCTTTTTCTTCTCTCTACTACTGCTTGAGAATAACATTAGAGTACTTTTTGTTAAATATTATCTTTTAAATAAATCAATATGATTCTATCACTAACATGAGTCCAAATGAGAAAACAATAATTGGGGTTTTCTTTTGGGGGGGGAGGAGAGAGAGAGAGAGGCAGAAGGCGAGAGAATCATACGCATACGGCTCAATCCCACAACCCTGGGATCATGACCTGAGCTGAAACCAAGAGTTGGAACACCTACCAACTGATCCACCCCAGGCACCCCCCAAAAAAAGAATTTCTAATAAAACCTTTATCTTTTTCCAAAAGCAAGTATTATTAGAAACATCAAGGTCATTTCTACTACCATCTAACAGTTCTAATAGACAGGATATTTAGACTCTATCAACAAAGATTTGCTTAATCCCTACTGGGTACCAAGCACTAAGCTAAATGCCAGAGGTTCAATATGAGACAAATCTTTTCATAGGTACAAAGGCACTTAGGCAGACAATAAATCTTTATGAAATGGGAAGTTCCAGTGGAAGAAAGATTCTTTAGAAAAATTAGATTAGAACCAACTTTGGAATACCTGTAACACTGAGCCAAGGAATTTGTGGTTTGTATTTGCGTAGGGAAAGACCAGGCACTCAAAGGTACCTTTGGAAAATATTAATCTAATCAAGCCCTTATTGAAACTTTTCAGTGGCTTCTCATTTCTCTAAAATGAATCCAAATTCTTTAATAAGGTTAACTTAATCCTGTATAATCATTCCCACCCACCTAAGACCTTTGTCTGTGGTCACACAAGGCTTTTTGTCTGTTTCCTCTAATGCAGAGATTTTCAAACTTTATAAATTGCAATCTAGTAACTATGTGTAACGCATTTTCTTTTTTCAAAGATGCAGATCACAATCTACTAAATCACAATCGTAAAACAAGTTAGGACATAGACTTAATAATCTATACATTCAACCACACAATGAAATGATCACCCACTTAAAAACTCTTCCAAGGAAAACATGTCCTCAGCTCCAATTTTATAAGTGATTAAGTTCCTAGGCTACTTTACAAAACGCAAGAGGACTGCTGCTTATTTTCCCAATGACAGCAGAACCTTCTCTCTTCTGAGTAGGAGATAATAGGATTGAAGGGGGCATTGAACAGACACTTTTTTTCTTACCCTGGCAGCAATTCCTCTGAGAAAGTGATTTACCTAAGGGTTAAAATAAGACTAAAGTTCAATATTCCAGACAGGCTCCACCCCCAAGCTCTCACTGCCTCTCTTGAACTTGGATGCCTTCAAGGAAAGTTTCCTTTTCAATTCCAACTCCTAGAAGGTAAACTTCCTGATTCAGGACTTTCCCTCCCTGCAGGTGAGACCTGTATCTTATTAGGTGCTACAGTTTCCTCCAGGTAGGTAAATTAAGAAGGAACAGAGAAAGCAGGGATCTAAACTAAGTTCTCCAGAAATAACAAATTATTTTCACGGTATTTTAATCTTCATCTGGTTTCTTGACTCTGATCTCAAGAAATCAGAATCTGGAGAGAGAAAGGGTGTAACCGGCACACTGAAAACCTTACACATGAACAATAGTCATTGCAGTCTGACTTCTGGGTCCTAGGAAGAGAGTAGCATGGAGAAGGAAGGTGGGGAAAAGAGGAAGAGGAATGGAATGAAGGAGAAGAAAGTTCTTCCACGTATCCTATTTAAAATTTCTCTTGGGCAAAAGGGTCTAGATATATTGAATCTATCTTCATGCCCTACAACCTTCCCTTACAAATTCTCATTCTTGCCTTTCTTTACTCTTCTTCCAGACCCCTAATGCTGTCCAAAGATCTCCATTTTGAACATCCACACTTTTAGAAATACAGCAAGTTTTACCAAACCTGCAAAATGTTCCATGATCTCATACGACTTTCCTATCCTTCTTCAAGTCAAAATTCCCATTTCCTCAGTGCAGCTGATCAAGGAGAAAGCAATCTGAATAAATGCACTCACATTAAAATAGAATAACTGACTGGCAGTCCTCGCCATTGGACCCTACTGGAGATACATATGTTTTATTATTTTTTATATATTTTTTAAAACACATACATTATTTTTCAGCTATAGAAATATAACTACAATAATCTCAGAAAAGATGAGAGGTGCCTAAAAGTCCACCATAAAGGAAGCAGGTCTGCCCTGACCACCATTTCCCAGGGATCATGGCCTCAGATTGTTCCCACTTCTCATTGTCCTTGACTCTCAGTTCTTGATAAGTGACACTAAAACTCCAGAGCACAGAGAAGGCCAACTTGGAAAACATTTGGAGCCTTGGGACATTTACGTACCTTGGGTGAGTCAGGAACAATTAGTTTGGATGGGTGATATTTTCTTTCTTTTTTTTAATCTGTTTTTTTTTTTTTTTTAATTAACGCTCCTTCATTTTTGAGAGATGGAGAAAGACAGAGCATGAGTAGGAGAGAGTCAGCGAAAGAGGGAGACACAGAATCCAAAGCAGGCTCTGGGCTCTGAGCTAGCTGTCAGCATAGAACCCGACGCGGGGCTCGAACCCACAGACAGCAAGATCATGATCTGAGCCGAAGTCAAACGCTTAACTGACTGAGCCACCCAGGTGCCCCAAGGATGGGTGATACTTTCAATATATTTGATAATCATTTCATTAGCTAAAACAAAAACATACACTGGGTTATACATTGAAATTATTCATTCTAAGGAAGTCAATGAGACAGAAAAAGGTTAAATACTGTTTCCATTGTTTTCTAATTTAGTAGGTGAAAAGCAGGATTGGGTTCCTCTTCATACTTTTAATCAGCTGCTTATCCATTAATTCCACTAGGGAATCTTTAATTTTATGTTCTATAACATTTCTGAAATTTGGAAGTATATTTTTGAACAGTCACATTAGGGTTAATAGGAAAATGAGCCTCAACTCCTGAGAGACAGGTGCCATTTCTTTTCCTGTGGTTTTTGCTACAAAAGAACTGAAGCTAATGCTAAATTTGTGTGTTCTCAGAAATTAACCACAAAACAAGCATAACTGTGTTCATTCAGCTGTAAGTGGCTCTTAACTTCAGCACCATCAGAAATATTTATTTGCCCCCCACAGATGAACATAACTGTAATAAAACTACACAATCTTAGTAAAATAAGACCTTCCACTTTGCCTGAGCAGGTAAGTATATGAAATTTTAACTGAATAATTGGTGTTTGCCATTTTTTTAATTAGTTTGTTTACCTAGCCACCAAGCCAAGTTATCTGCAATTACGGTGACAACTGGGACTTTTTTCAAACCAAGCAAAGACTATATGAAAACACCAACTGTGTGCAGTCTCTCTTGCAGCTTTTCTCAAGATACCAGAAAGGGAAACAGGCAGTAAGGCACTCAAGAATCGAAAGGTAGGGCATTCTGAAAAAACATAAATGACACTTGCTCAGCTTCCCCCACGTAGAAACACTATGTTGCTTGCTATCAGGTTGGTTGGCTTTTTTAGACAGTACTGGCCCCCAAACCTAAAATTCTGACCACAAATGAACCATACAAGAGTAAAAAGACAAATACCCAACATGTAAGAAAAAAGACAACCCAATTAAAACATAGCAAAGAATACGAAGAGACATTTCTCCAAAGAAGCCAGACGAACAGCAAACAAGCACGTGAAAACATGCTAAACATGACTGGTCATTAGGTCAATGCAAATCAATATCACTTGCCACCCACTAGAATGGCTATAATAAAAACTACCTAATAGGCAATAACAGGTGTTGGAGAATATGTGGGGGAAACTGAAACCCTCATACACTGTTGGGCAGGACTGTAAAAGGATGAAGCTACTATGGAAACCTCTGGCAGTTCCTCAAAAAGCTAATCATATATACACCCAAGAAAAATGAGAGCATATGCACACAAATGTTCATAGCAGCATTATTCACAATGGTCAAAAAGTGGAAACATCCTTAATGTCCATGAAGTGATGAATGGATAAACAATATTTGAAACTATGATATGCCAATACAACGGAATAGTATCCAGCCATGAAAAAGAATACTGACACTCACTACAAAATGGATGAACCTTGACAACATTCTGCTATGAGAAAGAAGCCAGACACAAAAAGCCACCTATTGTATGATTCCAGTCATACGAAATTTCCAGAATAGGCAAATCCATAGAGAAAGGAAGTAGATTAGTGGTTGCCAGAGGGTGGGCTAAGGGAGAAATGAGAAATAGCTGTTAATGGGTCAAAGGGTTTCATTTTGAGATGATGCTAATGTTCAGGATAGTGGTGACAGTTGTAAAACTTTGTGTAAAGGCCTCACTTTTAAAAGGATGAATTTTACGGTGTGTGCAGTATATCTCAATTTAAAAAAAAACCCAAGTCCTCATTTACAGAGAGATGACATGTAATAGTCATGTAAATGGTAAATACATAACCACAAACGAACATATAATCTCTCAGTGTAGACGCACGCCTGGGGGGTTTTAACTGAGATCTATGTATTTCACTTACATAAAGAAAAGAATCAAAGAGGGCGGTGACACAGAGCAACAGCCGAGCCCTGAAGCAGCGGAGCCGGGGGTGCCCCGAGCCCGCCTGGCGGCGTCCGCATCCCGGCGCGCCTCCCGCCCCATCGCTCAGCCACCACCCGCTGCCGGGCCCAGCGGCCGGGGCTCGGGGCCGCCCGCCCACCCGCCGCTGCCGGCAGCCGGCGCCCAGGACCAGCCTGCGGTCCCGCCCGAGGCGGGGCAGGCGCGGGGGCCCGAGGCGGTGGGGGGGTGGGGGACACGGCCGCTCGCCCCCGCCCCCGCCGCAGGGTCCCGAGCCCGGGCCCGCCCCACCTCCCTCCAGTACCTGGGATGCGCCCGAACCCGGCGCGGCGGCCAAAGCCCAGACTTCCCCTCCATTATCACCTGCCCGGGAGCGCGGCCGAGCCGGCCGGTGTCCTTAAGGAGAGGGCACCCAGCCTCTGAGACGCGACCGAGGCGCCCGGGGCGGGGGACAGAAGGAGCATTCACCTAGTCCCCCGGCCGCGGCTGCTTCCTGCCCGCGCGCCTCCTCGCGCCCTCAGCTGCCCGGCGCTGACAGCCCGGGAGCCGGCGCCCGCCGCCCGCTCGCTCCCCGCCCCCGCGCGGCCGCCCCGCGCACGCGCAGCCGCGCCGCCGCCCCAGGGGAAGCGAGCGCCTGGTGATGTGGCCGCGGGGGCGGCGGCCCGGAGCGCGAGCGCCGCCCCTCCCGGACCCCCCCTTAGCCCCCCCGCACCCCCCAGCCCCCTGGAAGCCGCGGGTCCCGGGCGGGAGAGGGGAAGAGCACGGGGTGGGGCGTTTCGGGGAACCCTACCCGGGAGAGAAGGGCTGTGGCCTTTCGGGAACCCCCTCCATCCCCGCAGACCCACGCCCATGTGCATCGCCAGCGGCTCCTGGGTCCGAACCCCCGAATCTGTGACTCACGATTTCTGTTCTCAGACCAGGGGCCTCCCGGTGGCTGGGTTCGTGTTTCCTTCTCGCAGACTGGAATGGAAACCAAAGCGAATGTAACTCTGGGCTCGCCTTCCCGCAGAGCGGCGCCGCAGGGGCCGAGCCGAAGCCGAGGTCCGAGAGGGAAGGGGGTGGACCCGTAAGGGGACTGGATTCAGGGCGGCTCCCAGCACCCTCCCCGTGGGAGAGAGGTCTAGAAGCAAAGGGCACGGGCGCGGTGGAGGTGGCCGGGATACCGAGACTCGGCAAGTTGGCCACCATCTAGGTAAAAGTGACCCAAGTTTGCCGTGTAAACCGAGAACTCTTATCTAACAACTAGTGAGCACCTTTTGTGTAGGCCTCAGGTATTGGCCTGTGCCCGGGGGACGTTCCAGTGAGCAAAACAAAGGTGTCAGTCCTCAGGCTCTTGTTCTGAAAGGCTGTCATTTTAAAAATGACACAGCTCGTGGCACTCATTTTCTCAAAGTTTCCACCAACTCTAAGTCACACCCGTGATTTAGTAGCAGCTTTTCAGGTGCTAAGGGACAGCAGAGCATACGTTTAGCCAGTTTTTTGATTTCTCTTTTTTTGCTTTACCATCAAATGGGGCTTTGACCTTCACATCCTGGGTGAAGTATGCCTCTGTGTGGTCTAGACCCTCTGCAGTAATGCTTTTACTTCACGCCCTGAGCGCCATTAGGAGTAAGAAAGGATGACGGCAAAACCTATGGAAAAACACAGTGTCTTGTCTGTATTTCCAAGTGGCTTTTGTTCTTTTTTTTTTTTTTAATATTTTTATTTATTTCTAGGAGAGAGAGAGACAGCGTGAGCAGGGGAGGGTCAGAGAGAGAGGGAGTCACAGACTCTGAAACAGGCTCCAGGCTCTGAGCTGGCAGTCAGCACAGAGCCCGACGCGGAGCTCGAACCCACGAACCGCGAGATCATGACCTAAGAGAAAGTCGGACGCTTAACCGACTAAGCCACCCAGGCGCCCCAAGTGGCTTTTGTTCTTAACTGTTCTGAATTACATATCACTAGGAGATAAATAGATGCTCCTAAAAGTTTGCCAGAAGTCAAATTCCAACCAGATAAGTGTTCCTCCCCTGGGTCAAGTAGTCCTTCAGGACTTCTGCACAAAATTTTGTATGGGAGAAGCCACCCTCTCCCAGTTCTGAATATTTTACCACCATTTTTTTTCTGATTGATTCTGAGCTAGCTGATGGTTTCAACTGCCCTGAAGTTCATCAGTTGGCGGGTGTGGTGGGCAATCTTCTACTTAGGCAGTGCTCTGCATTCTGTATGCCACAATGTAGTGTGTGGGTTTTTTTTAGTGTTTTAAATATTTATTAAAGAGAGAGAGAATGAGTAGGGGAGGGGCAGAGAGAGAGAGGGAAAGAGAGAATCCCAAGCAGGCTCCACGCTGTCAGCACAGACCCTGACTGGGGGCATGAACTGGAAAACCTGAAATCATGACCTAAGTCTAAATCAAGAGTGGGATGCTTAAACAACTGAGCCACCCAAGCATCCCTGTAGCATGTATATATTTTTTTAGATATTTTAAGTTTTAAGTTGGAATCCAAATTATTACATCTTTAAGTTTATTGTTTATTTTGAGACAGAGTGGGGGAGGGACAGAGAGAGAGGGAGAGAGAGAATCACAAGCAGGCTCTGTACCCACTCGGGACCCCATCTTACGAACCATGAGATCATGACCTGAACCAAAATCAAGAGTCGGATGTTGAACTGACTGAGCCATCCAGGTGCCCCTGAAATCCAAATTTAAATTAAATTTCAACTCTGAAAATAGCTCAAGGTGAATTGGGTTCAGAGACACCGTGTTCTAAAAAATTAGGTCCTAAAAAAATAAATTAAAAAAAAATTTTTTTAATAAAAAATTAGGTCCTTATGTGTGTTGATTATTCCTCTTCTGCCTGACAAAGGGCAACTTAAAAGGTGAAGCAAGTGGCTTAGAATTCCGGATCGGTATTAATCCCAGCCGTGATGATTGCTAGAAGGAGGCCTGGGAGTTATGAAAGTGTATAACCAAGGGACCTATCTGCTCTAGGGGTAAAAAAGATCTCTTTGAGGAAGTGACATTTCAGCTGAGCCTTGAAGAATAAGGAAGAGTAAGTTGGGCAACAAAGGGAAGGGCGGGGGGGGGGGGGGGTAGAGTGCACTTGTTTCTGTGGAAACTACAGGTTTGAAGGCTCTTGGGTAGGAACAGCCTTCGCCTGTGGCTACAGTGAGGCGCCGAGAGCTGAAGGAGGGGTGGGTAGGAGGCTCAGGGGCCACGCTGAAAACCTTGGACTTAATCCTAAAGACAAAAGGAGGCCACTGAAGAGTTGAAGAGAATCTATCTGGACACGATCCAATTCGTATTTGTAAACGATTTTCTGGCTGCAGTGTGGAGAATGAGTAAGAAGGGAGACGCAGAGGGTATGTGAAGACCAGTGTGCGGGTAGTGGAGAGTAGAAGATGGTGGATTGGGAAAATTGATCAGAGTTGAAGCTGTAAGCACCTGATCGTTAATTCCATGTAAAAGGTGAGAGAGAGAAAATGACGCCTAGGTTTCTAGCGTGGGCTTATCCCATTCCTGGAGACGGGGACCTTGGAGGAAGACATCTCAAGTGGACAAGTTTGAGTTGCTTTAGGTATGTTCAGTTTGGCACCTCAGTGAGACACCCACGTGACGAGGCTGTGTATATATTTGCAAAATAAATCTGGAACTCAAAGTAGAGATCTAGACTGAAGATGAAATCAAACCTAAATGTTGGAGAGCAAGGAATATGACTTGTTTGTAAGAATTTTACCTCTAAACTTTAAAGAAAATGAAGACAAGCATTAGTACCTAATACTATGTGTGAGACACCCCACAGAGAATATTTTTTGTAGCCCTTACCACCCTAGTGGATGGTATTATAATCCTATTTTTCATATAAGGAAACTAAGGGTTAAATTCCTGCTCAAACTTACTTAAATTCCCGATTAAATAAGACTGATTGAATAAGAATCTCTGTGGGTAATTCTAATGATAACAGAGGTTTAGAAACTTAAAAGTGCAGACTACTTAAAAGTGGTCACACAAACCGTATAGAACCCTCATTTCATTTATTTTTGAAATGCTTTTTATTTACTTTTGAGAGAGAGAGAGAGGGAGTGGGGTGCAGAGAGAGGGAGACCCAGAATCCAAAGCAGTCTTCAGGCTCTGAGCTGTCAGCAAAGAGCCCAATGCGGGGCTTGAACTCACGAACGGTGAGATTATGACCTGAGCCAAAGTCAGACGCTTCACTGACTGAGCCATCCAGGCACCCCTAAAACCCTCATTTTTAAAAAAGATTGGAAGAAACCATGATTCTAAGAACATGCAGCCCATGCAGCAAATGTGTGTGCATACATGTCCCCATTTCTTTCACCTGAGCCCCCCATTATCAATGCTCTTCCTGGGAAACTATGGATACAGGTATCTATATACATGTATATAGATACATAGATAGGTATCCTACATGCTAATAACTACTATGGATGTAAATAAAATAGGTTAAAGAGTTGGAGAGTCTGGGGTAGAGGAATGTAGAGAGGAGGGTGATGGTTTTATATAGGGTGAGCCACAGAGGTCTTACTGGTGTGAGCAGAAAGGAGTGAGGGAGCAGCTATGCTATCTGGAGGAAGTACAATAAGCACAAAGGTCCTGAAGCAGAAGAGTGTATGGTATGTTCAAGAAACAACAAGGAGTCGTGTGTGGCTGGAATGAGAAGTAGCTGGAGGCCGGTCTTGAGATTTGTAGGCCATTGTCAGGTCTTGGGCTTTCACTCTGAGAGAGACAGGAGCCATTGAAAGGGTCTGGGCAGAGAATGGGCCATTCTGACTTGGGTTTCAATGGGATGACTATGGAGAGCTGAGTGAGGGAGCAACGGTCGACTCAGGAGGAGGACCAGTAAGGATGCTGTTTCAATAATCCAGGTGAGAGGGATGGTGGCTCGGACCAGGGTGGTCATAGAGGAAGCGGTAAGAAGGTGCTGCATCATTTGAGCAGTAGATCATTTGAGAGTAGAGCTGACGGGGAGGATTTGCCAATGGAGTCAATGAGGGGTAAAAGAGAAAGAGAAAGGTGGTTAAGGATGCATCCAAAGCTTTGGGCTCAAGTAGTCAGAACAGTGGAGTTGCCATTTGCCAAAATGGCGGACGACGAGAAGAATCAGGAGCGGGTATAAGATGATCTGTGAGGGTCTACTGTTCTAAGCACCTGGTCTGTATGAACTCATTCAGTGCTCACCACAATGCTCTAAGGTAGATCCTGTTGTTATGCCTGTTTTATAGACGAGGAATTGAAGCATCACTCTACAATGTACTTCAGATTTCACAGCCTAAATGGTGATAATAAATACTACCAAGGGTACCACTTCACTGTCTTTCAGGGAAGACAGACGACTAAATAAACAGTGACAACAAAAGCTAGAGCTAATTGTAAGGCAAATCTGAGGAGGCTGTAGCTGTACAAAGCAGAAGCATCTTCCAAAGTTTGGGGATCAGGGAGACACGAAGGAGTGGGGAAGACTTGTGAGAGGAAGTGATATTAAGCTGAAATGTAAAGGATCAATAGCATGCTAAT